TACTAGTAAATAAGTAATTAAGTAAATAAACCTCTAAAACTATCTGATTAATATTTAATATATTGATTTTTAGGACCTAAGATAATAACGCCCGGTAGGGAGAGCCCTATACGAAACAGAGCCTACCTATTACCTTAGTAGGTTTAATAACGGTAATAAGCTATAAACCTAAAGCTATTCCTACTGCCTAAATAGGTAAGATCTCTAGGCAGGCGGAGGTAAGAAAAGCAAGAGTTTTGACTGGGTAGTACTAGGCTTAGTACCACCCCTGTGTGTAGGGAGAGATACACAGACACCGGGGATATTAACTAGTAGTTAAACCGTTAATAATAAGCTCCCGGGCTTATAACCTGTTGATGTCTACGATGGTAGACGATGGTGTACAATATGTAAATTGTTGTAGAGTTACTATACAAACTAGGAAAGATGACTGACTATATAGTCAGTAACTATGGGATGGCGAGCCTGTGGCATCTGAGAGATAACAAACATGAACTTTACTGCAGGGCCGAACTTGACCTGGGTACTGTCATCGCTGATGTCGATAGAGTCGAGATGGCGCAGATCAATAACGATAACACCGTCTGCTGTAGAATAGCCGTTGACATCATGGCCGCCAGATCGAATCCGAAATTTCTCTTTTCGGCGAATAACATTCCTCAGACAAGACGCTGCCTCTTCCGCAGTTCTAGGAAGCAAGATTGAGGATGGCTTGTGCCCATATAGAATATTCCAGCCATTGCTGTGTTCCTCGTAGCGGATATCTCCAACACGTATGATCTCCATTGCGGACCAATTTTGGCTGTGGTTCAGGGATAGTCGTTGCTTATATTCAATTTTGATAGAGGAAAAGAGGTTGACTAGGAAGTTAAAGTGGCCTCTTGCTGTTTTTATATCAGATAGAATTCCAAGGACTTCCTTGGTCCATATGCTCGGAATTGGAAGAAGCAAGATTATGATGTAACGAACTTAATCCTACAAGCCAAACCTGGATATACAATTGAGTGTTGTCACACGCTGTAATGCCTCGGTCCTTTTATCGGTTCCATCTTCAGTCTACCGTCTCGAATAGCCGAGTGGATCCTACTCACAGCCTACATTTGGTCACGAGCCATACATAGAGATTAGATCGAGCCTAACTACCCGAAAAGTTGAAAGTGAGCGGATTGAGACTGGATGACCCGTTCCAAACGTTTTTGGTACTGGATCACAAGTATGGCAAAATCCCTACTTAGTTAACATTGCCACGAGTGGGACACGACTCCGCACTTACTCTTCTTTCCCACTTAATTTTCTTTCCCACTTACTCTTCATTCCCACTTACTCTTCATTCCCACTTACTCTTCATTCCCACTTACTGTTCTTCTTCACTTACCTTTCTTCCCCACAAGAGGTACTTTCTGACATGAATCACCCCCTTCCCTTGAGGTCATCCCTCTCGGGAAATGCTTGAACCGATACATTTGAACTATCGGAGATTCAAGCTAGAGCAAACGAATTTGGTTCTTCATTATTCATAAAGTTCTTATGAATAAGCGGGGAAATTTCGGGCTCATCAACCCATTATCAATTCACATCACATCAAATCAGTCTCCAGGTGGCCTGGATTGACCTTCTGCATACCGCATATATTTTATTACCTCGTACTTTTTATTTCCAGTCAATCATTGAAGTCCAAGACATCATATACTAATGATAATAAAATGGACTATTTCGCTGCTTGAAACGCATTGAGATGATAGGATCTGTGGGTATTCATACCAGATTGCGGGGATAGTATGATTTCAATTATGATGGCAGCCTGAGGATGAGCAGAAACAGAGGAATAGGAATCCATTTGAGGAGCTCTTGTCCATTCCAAGTCATTATCCGAATATATCCGGTCGCCTGTGGTTGCTCATCGAATGCGAACAATTTCCCACTTTCATTATTCCCTCCACAAAATATGTGGGGAAAGAACGGATGACTGTTTCTTCTACCCTGGTTTAAATGCTTTGATCTCTTCTTCGTGAATCTACGTTGAATTCAATAAATTGCCCAGGTGGAGCTAAATGAAGTCAAAGCAAATCATTAGCCTTACTTGACAGAGACAGACTTCACAAAGAAACACAAACCTCAGAACGATAGCACACAATGTCACCTTCGATTCCTCGGAACGACATCTTTGACGAGGATGTTCCGATCCTGATTATCGGCGGTGGCCCGTCGGGTCTATTTTTGGCGTTCATGTTGGAGCAACTCGGTGGTCCGTATGCCCCCTCTCTTCTGGGATAAGGTGCCATGCATGAGTTTACATATTAACGGTATGATAGTCAGGTCTTTGATTGCTGAAAGATATGCGGCCAGATTGGCTGCCCCCAAGGCCCACGCCTTGAGCCCTCGTTCATTGGAGATGTGTCGCCAATTTGGATTAGATGTGAATGAAATTCGCAAAGTCGGAACCAGTCGCAAGGATGCCTATTGGGTGAACTTCATCACAAGTTTGGCTTGCGAGCATGTCGGCAAATTGCCCTATGAGCGCATGGACGCTGAAGTCTTAAACAGCACCCCTACTGTTAGTTCCTGATGAAGCCATATTTGAAACCTTCCCAGCACTAATATCGCATTTAGATGATTCATAACATCCCGCAGCCTGCTTTCGAAGAGTTGATTGCCCAGAGGCTATCAAATAGTAGCCTGGTCGAGATTCGCAAGAGCCATAGCTTTGTCAGCTTGAAACAGGTGAGAACCTTTGTCCAATATATGTACCTAGGTATATGTTTTCCATGCAGTAACTTCTAATGAAATCAGTTTGATGATCAGGTTATCACAACAATCGAGGACCGTGTTTCAAAAGAAACATACAAAGTCCGCTCGAAGCATGTGGTTGCCTGTGATGGCGCAAAAAGTGCGGTGCGCAACTTTCTTGGTATCGAGAGCGAAGGCGAGGATTCTTGTAAGTCTGCAGTCTCCTTTTTGGATTTCAATGATTTAGATACTAAAGATCTCATCTAGACGAAACAATGATGACGATCCACTTCAACGCGGATTTACGTCCCATCCTTCAAGAGCAGGTCGGTATGCTCCACTGGGTTATGGATCCGTTGGTATCTGGATTCATTATCGCCTACGACCTGTCCGGAAACCAAGTTCTGATCTGCAGCTTTGACGTGTGTTTTAAATTTCTAACCTCCCGTCCAAAATGGCACTGATATATTTTCTTTTTAGTCCAAAAAGTGTCCGACCGAATCGTGGAATGAAGAGTACTGCCGCAAGGTCGTCGACGCTGCGATCGGTGCGACTGTGAAGTATGACATTCTCAGCTTCCGTCCTTGGATCTTGAGTCGAAAGGTCGCCAAGTTCTACCGTGATAGCCGGGTCTTCCTGTCAGTATCCGTTGCAAATTTTCCGTTTCCCTTGCTCTTTTGTGAAATAGCTAAAATTGTTTCCAGCGCTGGTGATGCCGCTCATTCCTTCCCCCCTACTGGAGGCCTGGGCTTGAATTCAGGGCTGAGTGACGTTCACAACCTGGCTTATAAGCTGGCTGCCGTCCATCATGGATCCGCCATGGACGCTTTGCTGGAGACATATGATGCCGAGCGTCGTCAGGTTGCCTTGGTCAACTCGAAACAGAGTGTGAAGAATGGGAATAAGATTTTTGGATTGCTGAAGACACTTGGCACTACCGATCCTGATGTTGGTGTTGCTCGTCACAACCTATATCACAAGATCTGTGATGAAAAAGCCATGATCGATATCAACAATGGCATTGAGGATCAGCGTGAGCATTTTGACAATCTAGGCCTGCACATCGGTTACGTATACGGCAACAAGCACATCCCCGAAAACGCATCCCTATATGAGCCCGTCTGCGTGCCTGGAGCTCGTCTGCCCCATGCTTGGATCAAGCTTGCTGTCCCCGAGAAGGTGCAGCTTCCTAAAATTGACTCATCATATGTTGGTGGCGAAGCACAGAAAGCGGCGGAAATGACCTACTCTACCCTGGATCTCTGTCGGTTTGACGCCTTCACTGTCCTGGTCTACGAGACTTTCAGCTCACAGATTCAATCCGCCGTGCAAGAGGCACTAAAACAGGTGCCTGCAAGTGTGGCCTCTTCCTTATCGCTGCTGGTGGTAATTCAGGGGGTGGACTTCGCGCTACAGCCTGGCCAGGATAAGTGGGATAATGTGGTGTCGTTGAAGCAGGGACAGGTTGTGCTGGTGCGTCCAGATCAACACATTCTAGCTGTCCTGGATCGGAATGCCAGCGCAGCTCACATTGTAGAGACTTTGAGGGGTCATTTAGCTTGGTAGATAGGTAATATAGTGGCTGCACCATGACTACCCAGGTATGGTAGATGTGATATAAAATCGACGGATCGGGAGTAATTGCTAATTTTTGCATTCGATTTTTGAGTAAACAGACGTTTTTTTGAGGGGATTGTTACAGAAACCACCTCCCTTTGATGACTAGAAACTCAACATAATCGGTAGACGAGCGGCGTATGTCATCCAGTGGCGCACCTTACCCCAAAAGTGTACATAACCTAATTACCTATACCTGAATCCTTTAACCACGCAAAGAAATCCCGTCATCCAGGGGCGTGGTCACCTGTAACAGTGCCCTTTTTCCGCATGCACGAATTGAATACAGTAATCAAAAAACAATCTGAACAGCCAACTTCAAATTCAAACAAGAAAGGAGAAAACTCCAAAGAAGGAGGAAGCAAGACAGCCATAGAAAAGGCGATGCGTGTTACCGAGTCAACGTGCCAACATTAATATCTTACTCAATAGTACTTCAATACCCAATTAGAAATGGATCGCACCGTGTTTCATGTCTACTGACTAGTCATGTTGACAATTGCTGCCTTGGAAGCATTGTCAATCGCCCAATGATCTCTTCCATCTGCGTCGAAATCAACCACCGAGAGGCAGCCGTTTTCAGACCAATCTGCAATGAGTTCAACTCATGTAGCAAACTTACGGAGGTCATTGCATCATCCGTGCCACTTGGATTCAGCGCCTTGACTAGTTCCTCGGCCCCAGCAAAGTTAACGGAGGGGTTAAGTGAAGCAGAGGTAGTAGGAGAAGCTGAAGATGAAGCTGAAGATGAAGCAGATACATATTCAACGTTCTCAGGTAATTGAGTTTTGTCAACCGAAGAATTTTGCGTGATGACACCAGCCCAGACCTCATGCCAGCGGTGGCTTTTGGGGATCTTGATTGTCTTATTGTTCCAAAGGTAAATGGCACTTAGAATCACGGCGGAGGCAAAGAGACAGCCGGGGATATGGATTTCGTGAGTGCGACCGTTGGGGATCTCATCGAGAATACGTATGATGGAAACTGCATGGAGAGCGGCGCGAAAGGCCTCGACGCTTTGGGCCCAGGTGGTGAAGTTGAAGGGGCGTGCCCAGCCTGTGACCGAAATACCGCTTAAAATCTGCGGTAAGTTGTACGCCTCGCAGATGCGGCGGTAGAGAAATATGGTGGGGGTGGAAAGCTCGATGCACACTGCATGCCAGCGAATGAGGGTTTGGAGGGACTCGACGTTGTGGGATGTAGAAAGATTGTTTTCGTATATGTTTATGAGACCTTGGATGATCTGCGAGCATGAAACGGTCCCCAAAGCAGGGCCCCTGATATCATGTAACTCAGCAATTGATGATTGCAGGCCTTCGAGTAAGACCGCAATAGAGACCCGCGAGAGTTGTAATGGTGTCTGAATGTGATCCTTGGAGCACACTTTAATGAATAGCTCTGAAAATGGGATCTGCATACGGTCTAGCCGTGGCATTCGAATGATCCATTCTTCCGCAGTTTCAGCAGTAAATGCAGCATCATAACATACGGCCTCAACTTCATTAGTGAGATGCCGAGCGCTAGTAGTGGAGCCTGATGCCTGCGAAATGAGTCCGTCTAAAATATAGTGTCCGAGTGTTGCTCGGCGTTGAACTTCTGTGGCCACCCACGTCCGCCAGGCGGCGTCCTTGACGGCTGGGTCTGCTTCCAAGTTCGGTATGGCTCCTGGTTGCAAAGCGCCCACTGGGTACATACCAGATATCCTTGCCCAATGGAACCCTAATCCGTGGAAGACAAATGCGGTTGATCGAATTTTGGTATTACTGGAAAGTAATGCGTACGTTTGTCCCAGAAGAGCCGTTGAAACTAGCTGGATGCCATTGCACTGGTCACGCGGCCCTCGCAACTCGATCAAGCTCTGCCAAGAGGTTGCAACCGCAGTATGCCCCAGTTGCCATAGGATCTCTCCTTTCTGGGCGGCATCAGGGAGACATACAAATAGTGACCCCAAAGCAATCATATTTAACAGCAGAGGGGAGATACAGTCGTGCGTAGAGAACGTAGGCTCGTGGATTATCGGAAGACATGGTGATACTCGCCCAAAGTATTCTCTCAAACATGCATCAACGAACGGTGTGGTGACTCCCGTGTTTTGCAAATCATTATTAAGTCTCCTAGAAAGATCATCGATAAGCTTGTGAAGCTGATGCAACGCATGCTGGCCAGCACTCTCCTGGCCATCGGCGGGAGGAATTGAGTGTAAACTGCTCAAAGCCGAGATCATTTGTTGGGAATCATTAAGGGATTCTGCCATGGGCAAGAAGAGCGATGGATCGTTTGGTACATCTGGTATCAGCCAATCAAACAGATTTTCCGATTCAAGCATATAGGGGCCGCCAAGAAGAGATTGGTCAAAGATCCTGGGTTGCTCTATCGAGGTTTCCGCCGGCCCCAAGGAAGTTGGCGAGAATGCTGGTGCCGTGGGAAGTACTACACCGGCGGTCGCAGTTTGCTGCTGTTGTGCAACTGTGGCAGTGGGCCCTTTCTCATGCAGCTTCACGTGCCGGCTCAGCACATCCTGTCTGCCGAAGTATTTGTTGCATTGCATACAGCGAAAAGGCTTCAAATTTGTATCTGTTTTCCATTAGTTACTTTCTTTTTTTCAAAAGGGACTTCTGCCTATTGCTGTGTTGGTAATCGTGGTGACTACTGACGTGTTCTTTCATGTCTCTACGGTTTTGTCAGCCTCGTGGTATGATGTAATGCACATTGAAGCCAACGTACTGTGAGATGCTCTAATTTGGTGAAGGTCTTATCGCACATGCCACATCGAAATTTCTTCTGATTGGTGGGGAACTTAGCCCTTCTTGCAACTGGACGGGAGCCCATATTTGTCAGGAGAGGAAGAAGTAGGATGTGGGGTATGGGAAGTGGGAGAGAAAAACAAGGGACCGGGTTGGGAGAGGAAGAGATGCTTACGTGAAGAACCACATCCGTGCCGCACAGTTGTATATCCGCAGGAACCGAAGCCCTCCTTCCGTTCAGCGAAGCCAGTCAATGCACTTTTGAGAATACTGGCCAATCGACGTTGCACTTGATATAATTGATGCCTTGTTACCAAGGCATCGTAATTCCATGCTGTAACGTATTCGGTAAGCGAGCGGCGCACGTAAGCGAGTGGCGCACCCTACCTAACCTACTAATTTCAAATATATATATCTTAACTAAAACTCTATTAAATTAAATACTCTAAAATTATTATCTATCTAGATATATATCTCTTCTATAACCCTAGTTTTTATATAACCTATATATTAGTTAGACTTCGGCAGAACCCATTTTAGGTCGGAACCTCTAACCCAAAACCCAACCTATTAGGTTAAACCTAATAACCTAATAATAACCTATTTAAACCTATTTTTATATAAAAGATAGGTCTTAACGTTTATAATAATACTAAGTTATTTAAATAAATTACTATTTTTTATAGCTATTCTAGTTTATTTATTAAATATTACTATATTATTATAATATTAAGTTAGAAAATTTATATGATTACCCTAAATTTAAAGCTAATAGGCTTTATATTATATTAATTATAATATAGTAGTATTCTATTAATTTAAGTATTTATT